TACAACCTCCTTCACAGTAGCAGCTTCCATGCATGCCACACTAGCCTTAGCGCATGGGTGGCTAATCTGCTAAACCCACTCATCCCATTTGTAAGACATTAGCCTGATAGCTACAAATGTAACATATGGTAATACTGACTCTGTGAGGTCTGTACACAGCATCAAAACAGATGGAGGTAGTGTTTTGGGGTTGATTGACAGGTGGGTGGTCCGGTCGCCAGGGGTTACTGTGTTTTACTGATATGGATGGACTGGTTTAGGCATCCAAAAACATTAGGGTGATGGTGCGTGTCGTCCCAGTGGGGAATTGGCCTGACTTGTGTGGTTATTTTTCTATTAGTTCTCATTAGGGCTGTCGTGTCGTATCATAGACATAAGGCAGTGTGGGAGAGGTGATGTGGGCCATTACTCTTCTGTACCAGGCAGCTTATGTGACATTGAGAGAGCTTTGAGACGGTTGGCACTTCGATTAATAGTTGGTGGTGCTCATTTTGATCTTGTTGTAAGAAACCCTCAAGATATGATGATTTTTTTTCTTTTTACAAGCAAAAACAAAATAATAATAATAAGTAAGTATTGATTTTATGGACATACAGTTTAAAGGCGCACTGTGTCACTTTTTGGTTGGGGGTCCATCACCTGCTTGTATCTATGGATATGTCACTGCTTTACCTGGAATGTTCCACAATATGACATTAAACAGCTCTGCCTTACGTTTATTCAGTCAATTACAGGTGGTTTTATATCGCAAAAATACCTAGAAAAACAGGCATTGCCACAGCTCTGATCTGTAACTTGGTTTGGTCTGGTCTCCCTGAAGATATACAGGTTAATTGCCATAGTGTGAGATGTTCCAGTCAAAGCATCTTCATGGAGAAAGCATTTGACGGACCCTCCACCAGAAAAGTTACACAATGCACCTTTAAATCGATGTCCTTTAACACACATTGACTGTAGACCTCTAAAAAGATTCAATAGACCCTTGGAAGCATTTCATTGGATTAGAAATGACAGAATCACAGTCCCAATTTAAATACGATTAATTGCGCAGTTCTGCTTCTAAACCATCCAACATGTTTCAAGACTGGAAACATATTGTGACCAAAAGGGGTGGAACGAGACTGCATTTTCACACTAAACTAGATGAGACGTGATTGAGTCCATGAGAATGAGACAAGACAAGATTTTGGCATAATTTATAATAAACTAATTGATTCAGTTCACAATTTTGGCCAATTTCTTTTAACAATTTCTTTTGATTTTACAATAGCAATGTCCTTTGCAACTACAGCATCTTAAGAGGTGTAACTCAGCAAAATGTACTTTCTATATCCAGTCCAAATATAAAAACATGGGGGAAAAAAATCTCACGAGGTAATTTTCCTCATGAGTGCACATCTTATGCCAATTTTATCTCACAACATTTTGTGGCACGAGATGTTGTTCCATCCCCAGTGAACAGTAGTGGTTGCATAACTTGAGCATGCTACAATGCTACTATTTTTATATACCACAGAATAAATTAATTTGCAATGTAAAATACATTGAGATTCAGCAGTAATACAGAAAATACTGCAGCTTACTTCGATACAATGCTTATTTAATAGCAGTTTATTGTTCATTGTGTATTGTTCTTATTCTAATACTGATGCCTTAACCTGACAGTTTTGGATCTGTTTTTGTCTCGCACATGATGTCTTTTGGCACAACACATTTCTCTACATTGAACTCCGATGCCAGGCTTTTTTTTTTTTTTTTTTTTTAATCTCACAATGCTTTTTTGTCTTCTGTATCTTCCAGACTTCAACTACAACACAGATGGCTATGAGGGAGATGGGACAGAGGATGGCAAATCTCAGGACGGTTCTGAGCCGCTGCGCTTCATTGACGAGTCCCCCACCATGTCCCCCCAGCTCTGTGCCTCCCTGGGCCCCAACGGAGAGGCAGTGTCCCCCACCCCCCCAGAGGGTCTCCTGCCTGGGGTAAGAGAAACCACAGACACATGAGCCGAGGAAGAAGGCCTGCTATGAGAATTATTACATTGCCTTATTGTTCAGTAAATTATAGCTGGAACAATATATTTTGAGGCTCAATATGTATATACCAGTGATTTATGTAACTAACTTCTGTGACTGATTGTTGGATCAGCTTTTTCTTAGTTGCAAGTCATGCTTTTTGAGTGAGGCTTATTAATTTTGGGAAAAATATCTTGATTTTTCTAACAGACATTGCATTTGCGATGAGATTTAAGTTTTAATTATTGGATTCTGTTCAAAATTCAGATTTTAAACATATTTACAAAAAAAGATAAACTAATACAAGAATCACATTTCCCAACATGTTTGTACAGCTCTTGTTGTTTTGTGGAAATTATGGTACTTAAAAAATTACAGCCTTTTTGCGTCAGTATCATTTATCACAATATTTCTTTGTAGTAATATTATATGGTGCTGCAAAGTTTGTTGTTGTGACAGGCAGAGCTACCGACCAGAGCAGCCCATCAGGTCAGACACTGGGATAATGAGCCAGATGTGAAACGGGGGGAGGGGCATAAATCATACAACGCTCACAGGTGACAGTTTACAGTGAATGACAAATGGACCTGGTGTCATGGAGCTAAAGGTTGTTCTTTCACACACAGGTGGAGACACATAGTAAGTATACGATTGCATTGATGGATTTGATTTGGTTCAGTTGGTTGGCATAAAAAATAAATCTTGTCTTTTTCAAAATATATCCATCTATAACAGCAACAACATGCAAAAAACATTATGTATATAGGCCTGTCATGATAAATACTATATCCACTTAGTGTTTAATATATAAAAGCTGGAACAGTATATTTTGGGGCTCAATATTTATTATTTTTTGTAATTTTCATATAATAAGATTAGGTTTGAGCTCTAGACAGTAAAATAAATAACTTCTATGGCTTATAGTTACATTTTAATGATACTGTATTTAAAAATTGGTTTACTGGCATTATCTTAGCTTATCTTACTTTGTATTAGTGGTATAAAGTAGTTTCAGTATTAACGTGTACTGCAATATTTCTCTGTAGTGATATATCGTGCTTCAAAATTTGTTATAGTGACAGACCTATATATATATTTTATATCATGCATGTATATTTACACTGACAAATTTATTAAAGGTCTGTCTATTCTATTTTTTTTTTTTTTTTTTTGCTCTATGAAATCTGAATATTGCATAGTTAACAGTTTCATTTGTAAGTTTTGAATGCTTACCTTTGTGTGATTGGCACCTTAGGGGAGTCACAACTGGAGTTGGTCTTAGTGACTTGACCTGACCTAGAGTAACTGAGTAACACACATGCCCCAAAACTAGCAGGCTGTAATTTTACCAAGGCTATATTGGTTTGCCTTGCTACCATTAAGGGCCATTATCAGTAGTATTTTTCAATAGTGTATTAATAAGAAAGTATAATAACATGGAATGATTAGCTTGCTTTTGTCTGCTGATATAACCACTGTCTATGCCAAATACACTTCACAACATTTTTTGCATTGCTTTTAGATGGATCAAGTAAATAAATGAATGTGGCTCCATCTAGTGGCAGTTTGAGGGAAAGGCTAAACTACACTAGTGCACTACGTCGAACAATAAAATACTAAACAAAATACTGCACTATTCATTGTTTAAAGGGCCCATATTTTCTGATCTATGAAAATAGATATATTTCTATGACATAATGAAACAAAACACATCTCCAGGTATTTATGTGATATAAAGCTGACAAAGGTCATTTTTCTAATATAGGGCTTATAAAAATAAGTATGCCTTTGTAAATAATTCTAATGTTGATCTGATAAATTACATTCAGACATCTGTAGCTGTTTGTGGAGGGTTTATCCTGACATTTTTCCACTGATGCTGTCCTGTTAAAAGTGTTTCCGTTGGCAACAGCACTCTTTCATCTGCACACGAGACGTTCACTTCACTGCTCGATGCACATGTTCAGCATCTAATGTATGACTGACACAAACCTTGCACAATCTTTTTAAAAAACGTATTTTTATTGAAAAGGCTCACTACGCTACTTTTCTAGTGGAGGGTTCGCTACCTGCCACGAAAATGTTATGGTTTTGTCTAGAATGTTCCACAGTATAGATTAAACCTATCTATCACGAGACAAGCAGATTACAGCACTATGCCACATTACATTTCAGATCTGTGAAGAGCAGCCCCTATTCACAGAAGGTGTGAATGTATTTTTAAGCAATAGAAACATCTGACATTTATAAATGTTATATGTATATGACACAAGCAGGTAGCTGAGAGCACACGAGAAAAGTGCAACATTGAATGTCTGCCAGTAAAAAGTGTTCAAAAATATTTTTTTTCAAGTCAAAGTTTGGTAGTCACTATTTATTGACCTGCTTATATTCATATGTTTCTAATTCATTCAGTACTGTTTGATGGTGACATACCTAAAATGTATTAAAATCTCAGCTTTCATGCTACAAAAATTTTATTATGTAAAGCCTGAGTCATTTAAGTTTTCATCTGACAAAAGTAGATTGTTGAAGCTGTTGTAGATAACGTTCAGACTCTAGATTGTAGGTGAATGTTGTGTTCTTTTCCAACCTATTGAACTATGTGAACCGTAATTACAATTAGCCACACTAAGCAGCTCTTTAGCCAGCCTCAGCGCCCGAGTCTCTCCACAGATCAATAAAAACACAATGGTCAGAGAAAGTGAGACAAGCAGAGACATGAAGAATAAAACTCCAAAAGGAGAAGGTCCAATCAATGTATTTTAAAAACAGGAAGTAGTTTTGGAGCAAATATGTACAACTTGTATTCACACTTAGGCCAGTACACTGTCTGTCTATCAAGGAAGTGACTTGGACATGGTTTGTTGTTAGGGGAGGGGCTGATCTGGAGAGAGGGCAGACCCTATCGACCGAGGTGGAACACACATGCACACACACGCACACAATCACACATAAACCAGGAAGCCGGCAAAAGGGAAGGGGGTGGGGTGAACGTAGGCGGGTCCATTCTGTTTCTCTGTGTGCTCTCAATGTCCAGGCGTTTTGCTCTAAGGGGGAAAAACATATTGATGTGTCCGGGCAGTCCGCAAATAAGAAGAAGAAGGGGAGAGTGAGGAGAAGTAGAAGAGGGGACAGTGGATTTTAGGAGCCAAACATGGAGGAGGAAGAGGAGGAGGTCCTGGGGTACTTGGACAGGGTTTTGGAAGAGGACGAAGAGGTGTTTGACTGTGGAAATGGAGAGCTGGATCCCATCACACCGCTGCATAGACAGTTCAAGGTGAGGCAAGAGGATGCAGGGACAGACTCATATACATACAGATATACATATATACACATACATACCCATAGTAGTCAATGTAAATGCTATGGTTTAATCTAGCAGAGTGAGGAGCCCTGTTAGAGTGTGCACTGCGACACACTGTAGCTATTGGCCATATGTTCTGCGAGTGTGTAACAGTCAATAACCGTTAAGTATAGCCTGAGGACCACATGCTTTCTATTCAGGCTGTTCTGCTGGTCATGGCAACTTTTCTTTCAATGGAAAAGGCTGTGGAAGAATGTGGAAAACTCAAGGCGGATAATTCAAAAAAATAATAATGGGTTTCTTCGTACTTGGGACACTTTTTTAGAGCCAGTTGGTTTGTGTTTTTGTTGTGTAGTCTCTTGAGCATGCTTCAGTTGGCAATAACATCAGTATTCATTGGTTGTTACTAAAAACCAGTTTTGGTATGATTTTATTATATAGATACGGCATTTGGTCTTAATAAAGCATGAATAAAGATGTAATTATAATGAACAAATATCTATTAAGAATGAGACAGCCTTAGTAACTACCTATTTTATGAGTTAGGATTTGAATTTAGGGTTATGTTATCAATAGGGTTATGCTATAGATAGTGTGGGCTGCTGTATTGATATATCACCAAGAGTTTTTTTTGTTGTATTTTCCAAAATTATTTGTTACAGCTACAGTTTTGTTGCTTGTTCAAAGGAAGGAAACTTGTTTATGCAGCACATTTCACGTTTTCACAGTTTTGAGGATTAAAATGGGTTCATATGGACTTTGCACAAGATGTGGTTTAAGAAAGACTTTTAGCATCACAGCTATCATTTAACCGTTATTTTTTTTATTTAACTGTATCAAACTGATTTGAAATATATAGTATAAAATAGAAAGTGCATTGTATCGAGATATGTATCATGGCCTGTGTATCAAGCTATGTATTGTATCAGCAACTTCTTAATGATACCCAGTTTAGTTGTGACACTATAAATAAAAGTAATGTAACATCATCCACAGTACTTTTTACCTGTTTGATTCAAGTTCAAGAAACATATAATAAATAATAAAAGGTCACACTTCTTTCTTTCATTATAAAACAACGTGCTCGGTTTCAGATGACGTCACAACTTTTTATAGATGGGAGTGGCCAAGATGATAAATGTTAAATGCAGTGTGTTCTTTGGTCTAAAAAAAATTGAATTTATCAACATTTCTTAGTTTACATTTTGAATATTTCATGGCAAAGTCCAATGTCATTGATTGGCAGTTTTCAGATTCTATCATGTGATGATAGAATCGTGGATACAAGCGCTCGAAATGAGTTTCCTTCACAGGGTGGCTGGGCACTCCCTTAGAGATAGGGTGAGGAGCTCAGTCACATGGGAGGAGCTCGGAGTAGAGCCGCTGCTCTTCCACGTCGAGAGGAGCCAGCTGAGGTGGCTCGGATATCTGTTCCAGATGCCTCCTGGGCGCCTCCCTCGGGAGGTGTTCTGGGCATGTCCCACCGGGAGGAGGCCCCGGGTAAGACCCAGGACACACTGGAGGGACTATGTCTCTCGGCTGGCCTGGGAACGCATCGAGGTTCCCCCGGAGGAGCTGGAGGACGTGTCTGGGGTGAAGGAAGTCTGGGAGTCCCTGCTTAGACTGCTGCCCCCGCGACCCGGCCCCGGATAAGCGGAAGAAAATGGATGGATGGATGGATCATGTGATGAGGTCATTCTGCCAAATGGGGGGCAATGGCCAGATCTCTCTGTTGATTACTTTGTACTTTGCCATGAAATATCCAAAAGGTAAATTCACAAATGAAATCACTGTATTACAACACCATTTTGCATTTTAAGAATATTATTTTTAGCTGCCCCCCCCATCTGTATTAACCAATATTGTCCTATTTAATGCTGTGATGTCATCTGAAACCCAGCAATCTCCCACCTACAATGTGAAAAACACCATTATTATAGATAGTCATGGAAAATCTTCAGCCTATTATTTAATGTTATTAGTAGACCTTTCGTCATTCCCAGTTTTATGCAGAGGAGCTGGTTGCCACGGAAAACTCCTCTCCACACATCCACATGTATTTCCCATCTTGACCCTGTTGCCGCACACAGTAGCTCTTTGTACAGCTGAACGAAAGTCTCCCAGTGTCAGAATGGAAAAAAGGTTATGAGCTCCAGGCCTTGCTCTTCTCACACAACAGCGAAATGTTTGTCACTACTCTGAATAAGTCAGCAACTGGATGTATTCACTTACAATAGACTTAAAGGTGCATTATGTAACTTTTCAGTGTCATTGCTCTGCTTCAAATGTTCTACAGCATGACATTAAACAAATCTACTTTGCATTTGTTCAATTACAGGTCGATTTGTTGCTCAAGAATGCCTAGAAAAACAGGCATCTTGACTGTGAGCGGGGTTGCCTCTCCACAGATCTGACCTGTAACTTGGCCTGGTTTGGGTTCCATGATGATAAAAAGGTTTACTGCCATATTGTGAAGCATTTCAGACAAAACAATAGCATCACCATGAAGAAAAGCAAGTAGCGGGCCCTCCACCAGAAAAGTTACACAATGTACCTTTAAGCGGACTTTTGAGAACTTTCGATCATAACAATGTGAAAATGAAACGTTTGTTGGGTATAGGTAGGCCTGTCACAATAATTACTGTTTCGTTTAAGACACGACAGTTAAAAGTTATTTTTGGGAGTCAATATTTATAGTGAGTACTTTTTCTTTGTAATAACTGAGAACTTTTTGTTATTTTTCTGTTCTAAGATTAGATTTGAGCTGTAGGTGAATTAATAAATAACTTCTATGACTCATTATAGAAACACATAATTACTAGTGTTTCATTTATTTATTGCAGTTAGTGATTTTTAATCATATTGGGTTTTTGTGTCAGTGGCATAAATTTGTTTCAGTATTATTGTTTATTGTCTATACATTTTAGAGTTCAGTATTTATTGCGTGTACTTTGTCTTTGCAATAATGGGGAGCTTTTTTTCAGTTTTGTCATAGGATAATATTTGATATGTGGGTGTTTGAATGAGTAACATTTATGGCTAATAATTACTGATTCATTCTGCCATTTATTTTTGGCAGCTCATGCCTTTACTAAAAGACATTGTATTTGTTTTACTGGGATTATTTTGCTGTTTTGTTATTGTGTCAGTGGCATAAAGTAGTTTTAATATCATAATTTATCGTGCTATTCTCTATAGCAATATATCAGGTCTCAAAATCTTTTACTGTGACATGCCTACTTTAATTACTAATTTTAGGAACTAAATTAAATTTATTGACAAAAAAGTAAATGTTTACTTATTTTTTTTTACCATAAATTTTACTTAGTTCTGATATAAAGTGATTTATTTGACTGTTTAGTGCTTCATCATTGACAAAGTTAAATTTCAAGAAGTTGGTCACATACAAGAGTAATGATTTATTACACAATGGAATTTAAAGAAAATTAACTTGTTGTTGTTTGGTCATCATGAAAAATGCGAAAATCTGGATGGTTCTTGTATTGTAATAATACGCTTACTATTTTTAGAACAGTATTTACACACTAATATCACTCAGATGTGTCAAAAACATCATGTATTTCTTGTCTCCATAACATCAGTGTGAACAGACGCTTGGTTGTTATGAATGACGTCATTCCTCTTCTAGGCCTTATCACATGTGGTATGGTAATATCAGTGAAAGGATCACACTGAATGTTAATGTTTAATTTTTGCTGTTTCTTTGTCTGCTCACTGCTCTCCTTAAAGGGCCAATATTACACAGTTTTCTTAGAGTTGTTTTTGTTTCATTCATGTATGTTTAACACACAAACCCTGCATATTTAAAGTTCTTCTCAAAAGGAAAACACTCTGTTACACCTTGTGATGTCAGCAAGTGCTCCAAACATCTTCACTAGAATTATTTTGGATCATGTTTGGAATGACCAATCTCTACTAAGCCAAAGATAAAGGAGCTGTTAACTCAAAAACTACTCCTACATGACATCACAAAGTGCAACAGAGCATTTTGAGCTTTGGAAATGTACATTTTATTTTTATTTTTTTAAAATAAAGGAATACTCAAAGCTATGAATGAAACAAAACACAACTCCAGATATTTTTTGAAGAGGTAACAAGATGACTTAATGCTCACAAGAGTTGATTTTGCGTAATAGGATATTTTAAGTCGACATGTGACACATGCACAGTCAATACAATAATACTTCTTAATAAAACATACTATCTACATTTAGTTTTCACTGTTCAGTCGTGAATAGTTTTTACACTTTATTTAGCCTGTGTAAGGAACGTACATTTACTGGAATATTTTATGCTCTAAGATTCGGGATGTGATGCTCAAGTCCATGTGTATTTTTCCTGGAAGAGTTTGAGTAAACTTTTCAAAAGGGAAGTGAGCCATTTTAATATATGAGAGTGTAGTTACCCAAATAAATCCATGTAGTCCTATTTTGCGGAGTTTATCAGTACAACTTGTAACACATGTGCTCATATTATTATACAGTAGATTTCCCAGACCTCTCTACCCAATGTGAACCTGTGTTTTTCCCTTATATAACCTTATTAGTTCTTTGTGAAGATTGTAGAATGTCTGTGTTTTATTACTGTAACCATATTATTTACAGTAGAAACCTCTGAAGTAGCCACATTTCATATAATAAGATACACTTTTGATTGTGTTATGAAATCAATATATGTTTGTTGTCTTTCCACAGGGAGACATTGAAAAGGGACTGGAGATGAAGAAACTGGTGCTATCTGGGTTTTTGGCCAGTGAAGAAATCTACATTAACCAACTTGAAGCCCTCTTATTGGTACGTAAACCATTCACTCAGTACATGCTATGAGCTCTTAGACTTAGACAAACTTTATTGATCCACAAGGGAAACTATTTGGACATATTATAATAACAAAAGGTGAAAATATAAATAATAAGTAATAATAAGTAGCAAAAATAACAAGAAACTGGTGTCAAATAAGGCATATTTACTGACATCATAGTTGTAGAAAAATATAGAAATATAGTAATACAAATATATCTCACAGCTATATACAAGAGGTCATAAAGCTCTCATGTGAACTATCCTGTACTGTTTTAAGTGGTTGCTTTTGGTAGTTTTATGTAATAAAAGAATGACCACACTGACTGTAGCTTCCTGGAACATGGCTGAAGATGGTTCCCCTTACTGAGCTGTACTATGTCATATCCTGTGACTCTGCAACATACTGCTCTTTGACCAACCCAGGCTATTGCAGCAGAATATGTAACATGAGCCTACACTTGTGGCCACTTATTGTTCGACAGTACAAAACCTGGGCTGAAATACAAGAGGCCCATGTAGTAGCGGTGGTATAGGGCGGTCACGATAAGTAGCATATTAATGTATTGTTTTATATATGAAAGCTGGAACAAAAATTTTGGGGCTAAATATTTATCGTGTGCACTGGTGTTGTCACGATACTAAAATTTCAAAGTCAGTTTCAATACTAAGTAATCGACTCAATACTCAATATTGATTATGATACCACAGTGAAGATAAAACAGGCTCCTAGTAGTAACAAATAACAGAATTTCATTTTATACACAAAATAATTGTACTGTCTTAATGTTACCATTAAATCATATATGGTACTAGTTCTGATAAAGCTCAAATGCATACTAAAACTGTTCAGGAAAGCTCTAATTTTTGTCCTGTAAATGTGATTTTTTGTGGTATCGTTTCTTGCTCAAATAAGTATCTAGTTGATTTTAGTTTTGTGATTGATTTAGTGTCTGTTTTTTGATACTTTTGATAACCTTAGCTAGGAATTCTTTGGTTATTTTGTTGTACCATAAAACTGGAGCATTTGAGGGTCGAACAAGCAACTTCTGCTACTAATTAGATAGTAGTTAATGTTTTATTCTTCCAATTATTTATTGCACCTCATGTTTTTAAACAATATCTTCAATTTAGAAATGTTTTTTTCGGAGGAAATTCTCCTGCTTTATCATTAGTTGTCAATAACGTAGTTTCTGTATTACCTTTTTCCATTATATTTTTATGCAGCAATATATCACATTTCAAAATATGTTATTATGACAGTCCTAGCGGTGAGATAAGGTTTAGTGAAAAAGTAACGCTCAAATCTCAATTCCTCCTCTGTGACTCCATAAAAGATTGACCAATAAAGAGCCAGTTCCTGTCCACCCACACTTCCTCCATCAGTATCAGGGCACTCTTCCTGAAATACTCTAAAACCTAATATTTATTACCTTGGAACACATGTAAACAAACAAGAAGGTGTATAGGGACAAACTAGTTAAAATATGGCTTTCAATCTTAATTTAATGAAACGAGACTGACTCCTAATAGAAAGAAATATTGTAATGTATTTCTCTCTTTGCTTTTCAGAATGCTTTTAGAGAGGACTGGCTGCAGACCTTTTAGTGAAAAAGCCCCTGTAGATCTTTGACCATTTGAAACAACTGGTTCTGGATTTGATTTAACATTAGATGAATTGTGTTACTCGAATTGCTCAATCAAGATTCTAACATTTTTAATTGTCAATGATCAACTTGGGGCTTGAGGTCTATAATAAACATTACATAATGCCTTACTGTGGACCATTCTAAATTTGAAAGTTCTACAAGGGAAAACCTTGTAAATATAAAACAAGATAAAAGTAACAGAAATGTACAATGCAATATGCATTTCTTTTCTCATATATTCCAGCCCAGGTATATGTTTTAATTAACTCAGAATTGTTGGTGGAGGAAGTTGCAACTTGCAATCAAAAAGCTTTTCACTAACAGTCCACAGAAATGATAAAGATGGTCTAAAGTGTTTTTTCTTTTTTTTTTTTCTTTTTTTTTTCTAGCAATAAAGTTATAAAAGAGACTACATTTGTGTAGCAATATCCTAGTCTTAAAGTGATTATAACTTGAGATATAACAGCCTAACTCTCTGTTCACCTTGTACATAGACCACACTTGCGTCAGCCATAGCAGTGCGTTGTCATCGAGCCTGTCTGATTAGCCTTTATAAGAGTCCTCACATCAGTGGGAGTCTGACTCATCACAAACCTGTGACGTACAACACTGTTCCCTGTAATTAAGCATGCCCCCCGGCCCCCCGCCATGTTCCCGCTCCACTCCTCTGCTCTGATCAGAGTACTGTGTGGGGGCCTTACAGGGGTGACGCATTGAATCTGTGTAGTACTTTTTAAGGCTCTGAATATCAAAAATATATAAATATGGCAAGTCCAGTGTCAGTCTTGTCAAGCCTGCCTACATGTTATTCATGTTATCATATATATATATATATATATATATATATATATATATATATATATATATATATATATATATATATATATATATATATATAAAGATATTACCTCATATGTGCAAAGCATGTCAAACTGTGTGCGTTCTTATCTAGTACTTGTTTCATCCCTCATACAGATGAAAACAAATCCTCTCACCTGTTGTAGGTACAGCTGAGTCAACTCTTTCTGGTTAGATTGTGTAAATATAAAGCACACATGCCTAACTTGCATAATAGAGTTTCTAACAGTGTAGTGCTTTTAGTTAGCTTCACGTCCCCAGGAAATGTTGATAACGTCAGCTGCAAAGTATCCATACAGTTGGTCTAACTGTACATAATTCATTATACTTACATGTTATAATGTTTTTCCATCAGCCCATGCGTCCCCTCAAAGCCACAGCCACCACCTCCCAGCCTGTCTTGACCATCCAGCAGATCGAGACCATCTTCTACAAAATCCAGGACATTTTTGAGATCCACAAAGAGTTTTATGATGCGCTTCTTCCCAACATCCAGCAGTGGGACGAGAAGGTGACTGTGGGACACCTGTTTCAGAAGCTGGTGAGTCAGGCTTGGCCATAGCATTATTCCTGGTAAAATAAAGTGATATATATGGGGATGATATGAATGATGATATTTTCTCTCAGTTGTGAGTGGAGACAGACATGAGGCTTAGAAGCAGAATGTATATCTATGGGACTCCCTATATTTGTCCGGCGGCGAGCATAGTGAGCAGATGTAATTACAGTAAATATTACAGTTCAGCCACATTGACAGTATTTTTTGTAATCTGTTAAATACAGGTACCTTTATTAATTGCTGTAACTGTATTTAACAGATCACAATATAATTTTTATTTATTTCTAATGTTGTCAAAAAAAAATTACAGTTCAGTTTTCCAAAGAATCAGTTAGCATACCTAACTACTAACCTGCTAAAGTGACTGTTGTCTGGCATTACTGTGGGAAAATGTAATGCGTCAGTTCATCGACAGAAAGAAAAAAAAGAGAAGAAAAGAAAAACTGGATGTGGTTTTGGTACAATTTTAGGTCTAAATTAGCTTTGTCTTGTCAAAGTTCCTTTTTTAAGCCTGGCACATAAGGGGAATAGAAAAAAACACTGTTAAAATGTTACCATGGTTGCAATAATGTTAAGTCCTGCCCTTAGAAAAATGCCCAACTTTTAGGTAGTCCCTTATAGCTAACAGCCTGAAACAAAAAAGTACAACTACTATTGTGAAAGCCACCTTTAAAGGGTACACTACTACTTGTCTCCATAGAGATGTTACTGCTTTGCTTGGAATGTTCCACAGTATCCACAAATCTGACCTGTAACTTGGCCTGGTGGCACCCTCTACTTGTCTTCATGGAGTTAGATAAGTTTAATGCCATACCGTGGAACATTCTAAGCATCCACAGAGATAAGCAGGTGTCAGAACCTTCACCAAAAAGTTGCATAGTGGACCTTTAAACCGGATTAGGTATGTTGTCAATTATATAATTATGAAAAATGTTCTTTTATATTAAGCCATACTGTCCTGCCCCACTGGTGAGTCGTACACAGACATTCTTAGCCTAGTGATCAATTTATTCTGGTCCACGTCAGTCTGTCAGTTGCATGGTGGAAAGTAGAGTGAAAAGGTTATTAGTCATTCTTCTATTTTGGACTGTGATTTTTCCCTTGTGTACAGCAGCCTGCGCCAGTCAGTCTGTAGAGGTAGAGGAAGTACAAGCAATCTATATTTAAGAAAATGTCTTTTTACATCAAAATGAAGAGTTTTAAAATTACTTTGACAACTTCTACTGCAATTAATGACATTTTTCATTGTTAGCTACTAATTACTGACACAAGAATGGTATGCTCCACTGTGTTTTTAAACCCCATACACCATCACTAGAATCATTTGGGTTATAGCAGATCTGGAATTTCCAATCTCTACAGATAGTCTAAGTCTAAGTTCAAGGTAAAAGGTAGCTGTTAACTTGATATCTACCTCTTCATGACATCTCAAGGTGGAACAGAGCAAAATTTAGAGTTAGACACAGATTGGTGTTTTGGTGAGAGGATAGCAGCACATGAAGAATTAAACTCTCTGAAAACAAACTAGTTATTTTAATCCTTTTGGAGAAATGACCACTTAGTCTCTTTCTATTGCTGGTACTTTTTTAAACTAGACTTGGCATGAAGCCTAATGTCATCATCATTATGGTAAAATAAAATTAAAATTTAAGATTTTAAGCCAAAGGTATACTTGTAAAGTGCAGGGACCCTGATATAGTCAAGGTTAGAGTTACAAATTTATCCTCTAATATCTCTTTTGAGACCCAAAATAGCAGCACGAAGAGGAACTCCTTTAAGATAACATGCTTATCAGCTGTGTCCATCTATCTTTGCTAGTTTTCTTATCTATACACAGTTTTTTATATATAGAAATTATATTAAAATACTATGCAGAAAACACTTTATTTGTGCAATTAGCACAAATTCTGATCCATTTACTCTATTCATCAGAACAAAAATGTTCTCCTGTGCCCTTAATGCAGCCCCCAGGAGTCCCAGTTCACAGTGACATCTGTGCGCTGTATACAAGCCTACATCAGAGTGAAACATTTAGTCAGCCATAGCGCCACCCACAGATGGTGGTTTAATTACCCGCCCTGTGGTGCCAGCGTGGAGCCGTGGAGCAGGGCACATTCACACAAATGACCAGAATGCAAGTCAAGTGGTGTTACAATACTAAAATGTGAAGTGTAGTTTGGATACAAGTTTTAGTATTGATTCGTGTCTGTTTTTGATACTTTTGACAATCCTACATGCAAGTGCAGTGTCTCTCACCTTTTCCACATCAAAGACTCCAGCTGCTGTCGGTGGATCCATGATTACATCTGCACAGGCGAAATATGAATATGCCTGAGCTGGAGAGAGGAAGTGTAATCTTGCTGAGGGGCATGCATAAATTCAAATTTTCCAACAGAATTTTGAATGATTTTTGGACACTTGCCAAGCATTTGAGGTTTAAAAATATTCCTGTATTCGACCATTGAAGATACATGAATTTCCGCTGTGTAATTGTAGTACGACCTGGGTATTCCACCATTCACACCCACCCACAGCTACCTTTTGCTTTAAATGGCCCATATTATGCTATATTACACACAGACTCTGCATATTTAGGCTGAGTTCTTCTGTCAGAATAAAAACAGTATGTTCCACCTTGTGATGTCATTTGATAATACAGGGAGTGCTCCACTGTGTTTTTAAACTCCATATACCTTCACTAGAATAATTTGGATGATTTCAGGTCTGAAATTGTAAACCTCTACTGAACTAAAGGTAAAAGCTGTTAACATAACTCCATGTATATTTTTGTCAAGGTAAAAGCAGTCTAACACCGCTTAAAGCTCACAAGAATCAATTTTGTGTAATATATGACCTTTAAATAAACACTGTATATACTATTCAAGACTTGTGGAGGCTCAGGTAAACTTATAGCATGGTCTTGCCAAAACCTATTCAGGTGGAAAAGTGACTGGGTCTAAGGACAGGGAGCGCTGCACATTTCTTATTTAGCTGAGTCCAGTTGTATTGATCTGATTTGGAGCTTTGAGTCCAGCTTCTGAAGCATAGCAGAATATGCATATTCATGGTCTTGGTGTCAGCCTGCAGCCAGTGTTCCCATACTGCAGAAGAAAGAGTTCATCCAATCAGAACCTTGCATTCAAAAATATCATCATTTTAATAGAAGTACTGTTTATGAGCAGTGAGTTAAGAAAATGCTGTTTATTTGTTCAGGTCTCAAAATTAAGTTGGTAATTCTTTAAACTATTTTATTCATGACCTACTTTTTTCTTTTCTGTTTCTCAGGCGAGTCAGTTGGGAGTGTACAAGGCTTTTGTGGATAACTACAAAGTTGCACTGGAGACAGCAGAGAAGTGCAGTCAAGCTAACAGCCAGTTTCAGAAGATATCAGAGGTAAGAGCAATCATTGAAATATAGCAGTAATGTAAATACATAAAAAACATACTTAATACTTTGATATTGCACAACATTGGAGTGGAATGTCTTTAGAAGAAAAAAGCAATCTAAAGTAGGTCTGATCTTCAACTTTGGCAAATAAATAATATGGAAATTTAGAAAGCAGAGGAAACATTTTACAGTGATGGCAAGAGTAGAAAGTTGTGTAGTTAAAAGTTCTTATGTTCACTAAGAGCCTGCTAAATGTTTCTTCTACAGTTAAACCATCACTTATTCCCTCTTTATTTGCTCCAGAACCTGAAAGTCAAGGGCCCTAAAGACTCTAAAGACTGCACCACCTCTGTGAGCATGGAGGGTAAGTTCAAATCTCAGACTTCAGCTTATCTTTGTACATACATACATGCATCCATACGCACGCACACACATGCATACACACACACACACTCACACACACACACACACTCATACAGATACATACACATTCATACACATACATACATCCATACATACAAAAGGGGTTTGCTTCTTTAAGACTCCCCCTGGCCACGGCTCTGCTAACTACTTGTGCATGCAATGGTGGGTTTGGGGAGCAGAGCGGCGCATGTGTAAGCAGACAGACTCTCAGATAGTGGTCCTCTCTCCTTCTCTGCCTCTCTCTCAGTCTCTCTCTCCTCTCTCTTTCCCTCTCTCTCCGTCCCTGTCGTCTCTCTCTCTCCATCTCTCTCTCCCTCCTCTCTTTTTTCTTCTCTGTGAGCGGAGGACAGAGCGGTGAGAGAAAGGCAGAGATATGGAGGTGCTGCTGGTGCTCAGGGTCTGCTGTAACTGCACTTACGGTAACTTTTGCTTTGTGTCATTTTCAGTTATTCATTCATTTATTTGGGAACAGTTAGTGTTAATTCAGATGTAATGTAGAGTGAGATAGTGGCTAGTGATGTTAATATTGATATACTTGATAGATGCTGGCATGTCATTGAGTTCTTTTCATCGATTTTAGCTACATGTTATATTTAGGACTTTTCACCATTCAAAAGATAAAATATCTTGTTTTAATGTTTTACATTTTCATTTGCTATGGCATCTTTTTATCATTGTGAAACCAGTGGATTAATGCTAATGTTGATATACTTATGAAGATGTTGACATGTGTTTAAACTTCTATATCAACAGGGCTTCACAATAAGTTGTGTGTAAGACTGTGTTGTTATTGACATTCAAGTAAAATGGAAAATTAATTACTCACTTGTAGTATTTCAGACACTCTGTCTGAATTATTAATTAAAATAATTTAGAAGACTTGTTTGATGACTTGTTTCTGATCCTAATATTAGTACTTTTGAATTTGAATGTGATATTTTTGGTAAACTTATCATATATACAGTAAGTATTTTACAATAAATGTAGTGCACTGTATCTCTTTGAGCCAATGCTGCCATCTGGCAATAATGTTAAAACTCAGCTTTTGTGTTTCAGTGAGAAATTCTGTGATAAATTACGCATTTTAAGTGCTTCTTTTGTCATGTAAATATAAAGTACAAAATCTCATCTTTTACTCATTTATCTCAGTTTTAAATACATTTTCCTTTTGTTAAAAGGTGCCGTATATTGCCCAAGACTCAACAGCTAAGTGTGAATATACTATACATAGAAAACAACACCTACATCGAATGGTTTGTCAGGCCAATACAACAGGACTCCTATTGTAGGGTCTGTTTCTGTTAATTTATGCAGTGCAAATGAATGTAGTCTTTTCGACATCTTGTAGTGTATCATAATGAACGATATTATAGATTATAGAAGAGGCTATTTTGGCTTGCCTGCTTGCTCCTGGACACTGTTTTGAATTCTCTTTTCTTTATAAGGTTTTTTAATTACCTGACAAAGCTGAAGTGGGAGTTGAGATTGTGTTCAATTCCAAACCAATGAGCTGCACAGTGTCTGTTTCTTAATTTCCTTCTTAGATTCGATCATCCATTATTCCAGGCAATTAAAACCTGTCTGTGTCTTTGTAAACAGCAAACATGGCACTTTTCTAACTACAGTGCGTGTGGTGTTTTTAAGCAGTTTATGTAAATCTGCAAAAGTTTTTCCCACTTCTATTGATAAGAGAAGTTACGAGAACCTTTATTTGATGAGGAAATACTTGTTTGCTTGTATGCAAGATTACTTAGATCTTGTTTGTAAGATTACTTGTTTTTAAAGGAGCATTGTGTAACTTTTTCTATCTTCATGGAAAACAAACCAGACTAAGTTACAGATCAGATCTGTAGAGATGCAACCCTGCTCACAGCCAGAATGTTTAGGTATTTTTGAATTATAAAACCTGTAATTAATGCCATACTGTGGAATATTCCAGGCAGAGCAATAACATATCCATAGAAACAAATAGGTGATGGACTCCCAACCAAAAAGTTACATAGTGCACCTTTAGTAATGGTTTTAATTACTGTGTTTTATATACAGATAATACACAATTTAAGGTTAAAGATGTGACTATTACTATACATTTGTTATTATATCTTTATATATTATTATCCCTGCACCTACCATTATTATTAATACTTCTAAAATTGCTACTGGTTGCTATCTCTCCTGCTGCTGCTACAGAGAGAAAAACTTTTCCCATCTGAAGTGTGTTTTACTTCTAAGCCATCATAGAATAGAATTAGATACCTGTTGTGTATCCTGGGTCATTTATAGATTTATTGCACAAAATTACAAACAATGAAATGCCACGTAATCCAATAAGGTGTACATTTGGATATTTAATGGAAATGCCAAATCGTTGCTGGTACTTTCACCTTTGCCCTGTTAAAGGTGCACTGCGTAACATTTGTAATAGAGGGTCCGCCACTTGTTTGTCTCCATGTTTTGTCTATCACGAGGGAGACAAGCAGGTTACAGCACAACACTACATTACACTTTAGATCTGTGGAGTTGCTCCTATTCACAGAAGGACTTATTGTATTTCTGAGGAATAGAAACACCTGTAATGAATAATTCCAGGCAAAGCAATAATATCTCCATGGAGACAAGCAGGTAGCAGACCCTCCACCAGAAAGGTTGCACAGTGCACCTTTAAGACATTCTGCACCTACATGACTCTTACTTTGGGAAAACTTCAGGAACAAATAAAGGATTAGTTGTAGCTAGCATCTTTTGTCTTCATTATAGCTAAACTGTCATCCCATTGTTTAGTCTCACCTTCTCATTATTAGATGCAAATTGCAATGGCAGCTTTAAATTAGCCAGTCTGACATATGACTCTGTTTAGTATGGAAATGGTGTCTCCTGTTTGCTTCAATGGGTCTCTCCTTCTCATCCTCATATGCCCCCACTATATCTTTGTCACTTTGTTCCTTTATAGCTTTCTTTCTGCACTACGTCACATACTTAGAGTTACTTTGAATTAATGCCAGATTTTGAAGGTTGGTAATTCATCGTGTCCTCGTTTAAACCTCAGTGGCCTTATCTTGAAAAGCTAAATGAAAAATTTTGTTATTTGGAGTTAAAAATGAAATGTCAACTTGTGACCTTGAGTATGGGCCTCAGTGTGACAGGAGATCGACTGCCAATAATCCTCCTGCTTCAGTCTTTTGCATTTGCCCTTGTGCTTTAGTTCATTTGTTTATGTGTGTGTGTGTGTGATTGTGTTTGTGTGTGTGATTGTTTTTGTCTGTGTGATAGACTAACAGAATTACACAATCTATGTCTTTATTGAAACCAAATCATTATTATTATTATATTATTGTCATTATTATTTGGCATTAGATAACACTGTTACACTTTCTATGTCAGTTCATGTCAGTCAAATCACTATTTTAAGCACCTTTTTGTTTGTTATAATAGCTTTTACTTGCAGGTTACTTTATTTTATATTTAAATAATCATTCAATTTGAATTGTTTGTTAAGTTTATACAATTTGCCTAAATTTTTGAGAGTGAATAATTTGAAATTGTTTTATTAGTTAAATAATTATCATTTTTGTGTCAATATGTAAAGCAATAACAGCTCTTGAAACAGTCCTGTGACAGCATTGTACATATTTACTTACTTATCTACCTATGGTTAAGAAAATAATATTAAATTATTAAAGCATTTAAAGTATGATAAATGAGAGTTTAAGTGGAGTTTAACTCACATGTCCCACAGCTAGACAGTAGATACAGTACTTATATTTATTGGAACAGTGTAGTTTATCATTGCAGTTCCAGTCATCAGTATCTTTCAGTCTATAGAAAGGCTCCATCCCTGTAGAGTAATGTATCAGAGCTCTTCTTTATTGCAGTATAGGTCTTGTCAGTCTGGTCCATAGGTCTACATCAGTAATGACCAGAGGGTGAGGGGTTTCAAACAGCATCAGCTCAGCCCTCTATAACATTCTCTCTGCTCTCTCAGGGAGCATGTATGAGAGCATTATGCATGTGAAACAGGGCCGAGAGTTCAATATGAAGGAGCTATTGCATAGTGTAGTCTCCATAGGGTTTGTTTCTTTTTTAGACATGAAGACCATTTGATCTGGGATTTGACAGTTACATGTTTATGACAGCTCTTTTAATGAGGGAACTGGTACAGTTTCTGTTCTTCTCTAAAAGGGCATGAGTGTCTGGGATGACCTGTTCTGCAGACAGAATCTAAACTGCTCTTACTTTTCAAGAATATAGTGTAGTCACACTCTACTGGACCTTAGCCTTATCTAAAACCAATTCCTGTTTCACGGTTGCTCCCTCACCTTTGCTATGGGGGACCATTTTTAATATAATGGAAAGCCAAAATGCTCTATCTTGGTTAAGCCAGACTTGAGCTTCCTCCATATTCTATATTGAGGATAGTGCAACTCTGTAAACTCAGACTTCACCCTGTCCTTGTGTCTGTCTCTTGGTGAAATGCAATTGATGTGGATCATTTCTTCTGGATACATTTCTATTTTTACGGTACTGGAGTTTTAACTTTAAAGTCTATACCGAAACTTTCAGTTTGTACCAATTATTGTCATTATTCCAAACAATGATCATTCATTTGATCAAATACTAATTTCTGAGAAGGGGCATTTAAATTATCCACATGGTGTCCATGTTTTTGATGTCCATGCATGTACCCGTAAGTAAGCAGCTGACTGAGTATAACGTCTGTGTAATGTGTTGTTACTGTCAACAAAATATAGCCAACTTGTAACACCCATCCAAACCCATCTTGAACACTGGGCATGTTGATTGTGAAAGAGAGTAGATGATATTCACATGTAACAAGCCTCATCATAATGCACAGAGACCATAGCCCCGAAGAGGCTTTTTACATTGTTCATTTAAACCTGCCATAAAAGTCCAGTATATAGTTCCTTCATTGACACTAGTGATGTTATTATTTTGGGACCTTGAGACATTTTTGTCATTTCATTAGAGTGCTGTTAGGAGGCATCTTCGGTTCCTCCTCTCCCTCCTCCTACACCTGTCTCCTCGTATACATCCATAAGTACTCCCCCTTGTGGGCTTCCCATAGCTACCAGCCCATCTTTCCCATTGTCGTATTATCCAGGGAATTTCTCACTTTATGCTGTCACGTATGTCAGAGCTGCTTCTGCTCACTTCAACAGCACTGCTTTGCCTTTGGGGAAACTCAGCCAAGTGATTTTCAGACTAAGATAGTGACACATGATCCTGTATCTGCGCATACTGTATCTATGTATATCGGCATCTTATTGTGAATGTTGGTTAATCTCCTGTTATTGTTTGTTGTCTATAGTCTGTTATTGACCAATTTTTGTTTCATTGATTGATTTTGTAATTTTCTTCTGTTAAGCCCTGCGAGCAGACTTCTGTTGTGATTTTGAGCTATACCAAAATAAACTGAATTGAAATACTTTAACTACTTATATGTGTACATATGTGAGTGTAGTTCTACGTAGTTTGCCTGGTAGCAGCTGAAGTGGAGTTTGAGCGCCAATAGAAGGCTGCAGTGTCATTGTGGAGAGCTGCTTGCATGTTAAATAGCCACTCTGCCGAGTGCAGGCTTTACTGTGAAATGTTGAATGCTTTAATGCAATAACTAATGTTTTGTTTAGAGGTCAATTAAATGCTCTCCTCTGCTGATAGAATGAGTCAGGTTTGGTGCTTGTTATTTTAACCCCTAAGTGGGCCTATGAATTAGAAATAGAGTGGACCGAGATACTTATTTAAATTATTTAAATTAAAATAATTCTTGGTATTGAAGTTTTGTTATGTTGTTATGTATTCTGTTAAAACAACATTTATGCCAAAATCTGTTTGAATTTGTATTGGAAAGTATTGTTGGTGATTTTATTCATTTACAAAACACTGAAAATTGTTTGTTGTAAAAAGAAACTCCCCAGAACCTACCTTTGCTTATAAAAGGGCTCCAGACACAGAATAAAGTACATTAGTAATATTTTCTTCTTTCTTTCTTCACAGCTCTCCTCTACAAACCCATTGACCGTGTCACCAGAAGCACCCTGGTCCTTCACGTGAGTACAAATGTCTTATCAGCCTTGTATTGTAAATATATATATATATATATATATATAATATTTTTTTTTTTTTTTTTTTTTTTTTTTTTCTACTTTATGGTACCCCAATTAGCAACTCATAGTAATTGTTTTTTTCGCCATTAATTTGTGCACTGCCATAGTAATAAATGTATTCATACTTTTCAGGGGCCCTCTTTACCAAACAAATATTAAAACAGTCAAAATAGCAATAAACAAATAACACAGAAAAGATAATGCATAAGGTATTGTTTATTTATCCAGTTTATAGTACATGCATTACTGATCTACGCAGGTTAAATAGTACCATTGTGCTGCTCCTTAATTTAGAAATTTGCTGTCAACCTTCATCATTACTTGTTTTTATACATGTATCTCAAACAGCATCATCCAAAATTAATAAATTGTCCTCTAAAAAAATTTAATATAACTGTCACATTTCCATAGTCCTCACTTGACCTGACCATTTAAATCCTCATCCCACAGTCTTCCACAGCACAAGATCAGATATTTAAGCAAATTTCCTTTTATGGACAATAACATTTGATCTTATCTAAAATATTCATCCTACTAGCCACCACAGCATTAAATTAAAACTTATTATGTACGTAAGTGCGAGAATCAATGCTAGAATGAGATCCAGACAGTTTCAGCTATTATACCTAACAACCTAAGAGACACAGGAGACAAGAAAGCATTTTTAGTTGTCATCTTTTCATCTGATGTCAAAACTAAATGAACCATACATCTTTCTCTCGTTCTGAATGTAGATGTTGATCAGTTTGGCCTCTCAGTTCTTAACTCCCACATCCTGACTATAATAATCACTGGTGTTGATGAGGCCCACTGTGAAAACACACATATCTATTTGTGTTCGAGCAGCAGCCTCCCCAGTGTGTGCTCTGCAAAGGTCTATCTCTCTCTCTCTTTCTCTGTCTCTATCTCTCATTCTCTGTCTGTGAATCTATCTCTCTGTCTCTGTTCTCTCTCTTTCTCTCTGTGTGTGTGTCTGTCTCTCCCTTTTACTCTCTCTGTGGCTCTTTCTTGTCTCTCGCTCTCACTATCTCTATCTGTCCCTCTCCCTATCTATTCTCTAGTTGTCCTCTTCCTTTTTCAATCTGTCTCCCTCTTTCTCTCTGTCTCTCTTTTGCTGTCTTTGTTCATCTCTCTCTTCTCCCTCTCTTTCTCTGTTTGTCTTTCTCTATTTCTCCATCTTCTCTCTTTCCCCTCTACCCCCTTTCTCTTCTATCCTCCTCGTTATCTCTCTTTCATCATCTCTCTCCCTCTCCATCTCTCTAACCCCCTACCTTCATCTCTCTCTGCATTTTTGTCCCTCTCTCTCCTCTCTGTCTCTCTCTCCATATCTCTCTGCCCTACTCCCCCCCTCTCTCTCTTTCTTTCTGTCTCCCTTTCCCACTCTTCCTCTTTCCATCTCCCTCCATCTCCACCTCTGTCTCCCTGTCCCTCCCTCTCTTTCTTCCCTCCCTCCCTCTCTCCCTCTCTCTGTCCCCTCCCTCTCTCTTCTTCTCTCTCTCTCTCTCTCTCTCCCGACCCCCTCTCTTTCTCTTCCCTTCTGTCTCCCTTTACCCCTCTCTCTCCGTCTTTTCTTCTCTGTCTCTGTCTCTATCCCTCTCCATTTCTCTCTCTATCTCCATCTCGCTCTCCTCTCCCTCCTTCTCTCTCAACTCCCTCTCTTTCTCTCTCTCTCCACTCACGGATAGAGAGACTGTGAATATTGGCGAGTTTATTTTTGAACACACTCGTCTGCATCTGTCCCTCCATCACACCTCTCCTCTGATGAGAGCAGCCTTCACAAAAACACGGAAATGAGATTTTCAGTGATTACGTGGCGAGTCTGTGATGTAATTATGGTTCAAACAAGAGGGTCAAATAGAATAAGACTTTTGTGCTTACACTTCAATTGATTTTTGGAAAGTGTATTTGCCTTCACTTGAGACACAATTGCTGTTTCTAAGTTGGGAAAAATTGAACTGCCTCAAGGTTACATATCCAAAAAACACACACATCTAACACATACAAACACGGGCTCTCCATCAGAAAAGTTACACAGTGCACCTTTAATACTTGCTTACATTTGATCTAAATTCTAGCGTTAACGTGATTTAAACTATATTATCTAGTAATAAATGATTTACGTCATGGGGGCTGGAGTTTTGTCCTTACAATGTGATAAATAAGTTCCCACACGTAATATATTCTTTAGATTCTTCTTTTATCAAAACCTGTTTGAAGTCACTGAAATATACAGTATAATTTGTTGAAGGTAGCAGAATACACTGCTTCACTTTAGGATTTATGTCTCGACTGGGAGTATCAAATAGTATCAAATAAGAGTAACTTTTATTTATGGTTTCATGGTGGATTTTTCTCTTTTATACAAAATGTTGTCAGAATCCACTTGATATAATATGACTCCAAGGCAAATTATTATACTGTTCTGTTTTATCAGTAAAATAATGAACACCTTGTTTTTCAGGATTTGTTAAAACACACGCCCAAAGACCACCCGGACTTCCCTCTGCTCCAGGACGCTCTGAGGATCTCCCAGAACTTCCTCTCGTCCATCAACGAAGAGATCGACCCGAGAAGGACCGCTGTCACCACACCCAAAGGAGAGGTGGGTGCCCAAATATTGAGCTGGAGAATGTGGCAAAAAATGCATCATGATTTTTGTCCTCATATTGATGAATAACGATTTTCTTTTCTTTTTATTTTATTTTATTTTGTATTAGTGAAAAATAATGAAAATGTCTTAATATTAATTTCCTGAACTTAAACAGGGCAGACCTTTAATCATTCACATTTAACTAAATAGATTACATTTATTCCTTCCTTAAAGGTCCTATATATTATGAGAAATTAACTCTTGTGAGCCTTAAAACATGTTATAATGCTGTTATCTCATCAAAAACATACCTGGAGCTTTTTTTTTTCATTCACAAGCATTTAAGTAATCCTTTATTATCCGTCTCTCTACATCTCCAAAAGTCAAAATGCTCTTTATCACCTCATGATGTCATGAAGCAGTAGTTTTTAAATGAACAGCTTTTGATTGAGAAAACAACATCATAGCAGATCAGAAAATAGCGTAATATATGATCTTTAAGCATGAATTCTGCTCCAAACCACATGCGTTTACTGACAGAGGATAGACTGTAGTCTCAATTAAAAAGATCCAAGCATATCATTAATTATTAGAAACAGACAGAATTCATATATATGAATCTAATGAACATGCTATATAACTGTAATGTGCCTCTTGTACAGGCTCGTCAGCTGGTGAAGGATGGATTTTTGGTGGAGGTGTCGGAAAACTCCAGGAAGCTCCGTCACGTCTTCCTCTTCACCGATCTGCTGCTCTGTGCCAAGATGAAAAAGACCGCTGTGGGGTGAGTGTGACTTTCACGCCTGTCTTTTCTACACTGGTTATTATAGATTACTCTCCTGGCTGGGGTCCCTCTGTACTGAGCATTTGATTTTACTCCACACTGTGCCCTTTGTTGTGATGCAAAGAATACCTCCATAAAGCTGTATACACTAGGGAAAATTATGGCTTTAATATTAGTGCTGTCTCGATACCACACCTCGATTTTGATCTCAAAGGAATAGGCTGAATACCCAGTAATGAAAATAAATACATTTTCTTTTTACAGATAAAATAATGTAATTTTCAATACTAAATTATAGTTCTTTATTTATGTTACAGTATTAGGCTTAATACTTGCTTTTGTATTCATTAGTAGCAGGTTTTTAAATACTTTTTTTATACTTACAACCCTGATAAATATGATACAACATAGTTAACATTGTAGTATACTGAGGTAGTCTTGAAAACATTTCACTTTATCATGTTCACATTTACTCTATTCAGAAAATGGTTACTATGACAACCATATGTGTGAATGAAACCATTATGGACTGACCTGTGGTGCCAAATAATATTACGAGTCACATTTACACATTGTATAATAATAGCACTTTCATATGGAAACTCACCCACCTCATGTTAATCCTTTTAGGAACCGTAATCCCTTCAAATCCAGTATTGAAATATTGTATTATTTATCATATTAACTTTGACTCTGCTGGTTGGTGTCTTTATTGCCATCATTTTATTCATGAGTTTCAGGCAGAAGACTCCTTCTTAATTTGAAGAATTTGGCACAACCCCCCATTGTTATAGCAATAATATATGAAATTACATAAAAATCTATAAGTTTGATTGTCAAAAAAATACAAAATTCAAAAAACAATGCATTTTCAGGAGCCTGTGATCAATATGTGTATTCATGGTTCTGTTTAGCAGTTTGACTTTCAAGAAAAAGATGAAAGTGCTAGCTAGTTTGTGACTGTAGTTTTATGTCTGAGAAATTTGTTTAACAGTACAAATCCACTCCCTTGTTGTAATTCCATCTAAGTCAGTCATTTATGATCAGATTGTGTGAAAACAAAGCTCTGATTAAAGTCTAACTTGATTAACAGAGAACCACACAGAACACTGTAGACACACAGAGCAGTGTCTATATTAGCATCACACCCCCAGGGAATGTTTATGAGATCAGCTGCAAACTATCAATTCATCATATGTTAAATGGTTATAAAGCTTATGGGTGGCAGCAGTGTTTTAGCAAAGAGTGTTTATGAGACAACATGTTCAGTTCCAAACATAGACTGTATAAAAAAGTTGACTAAAGGCCGCCACACCCCACAGGGTTTTTCAGGCTTAAGGGATTTTTAAACATGCAACAAAAAGTGCACACCACAGACATGAGGAGAATCTGTGAGATTTTAAATCTCTGACTGCAAAGACTGCAGTGGGACATGGCTGCTTATCACATGCTACAGGTGTAAACGCACCAATGTCAGCTCTTTCCTGTCTAGAGTAAAACTCGCTCATGTTGAGACTCTTAAGTGTTTTAAAAGGTCAGAGGTCTGTACTTCTAGTTTAGATGCAAGTTAAAACTGTGTTGTTATTATTATTTGTGAAATGTTATGCAATACTTCAGATACATGATTTTTAATGCACAGAAGGTTACCAATAAAGTAAACAAGAAGTAGAGTCTATCGCTAAACTGCAGCTTCACCCCGATTCGTGCGCTGCGTGGAGGTAAACAGAAACATGTGAAGAGCTACTCTTGCCTTTTTACTTTTAAAGAACAATTCAAACTGGACTAACAGTGCTGTTTTGGGAATTGGGTGTCATTATTTGCAGAGGACAAATTTTATGGATAATGTGGATGAGATGAGGTGAGTAATAATTAATTTTGCTAGTTCCTGAATTTGTATCTTGCGCCTCTGTCTGGGTCACTCCGTGTCCCCCTGACGCTCTGTTATTGGCTGTTATCATGGCGTTGCTTGGTGGTTATGATCTGACAAAACAACTCAGAGTCCCACAGACACCACATGAAACACACACACACGAGGAGAGCTGCTTCAAAATTCCATACGAAGTCAGGTCACGCATCCCCGAACTCAGGCATATCATAGCCTAAATTGGGCAACTGGTCCAAAATCGGACCTTAAGGGTGTGTTGGCTCCTATCAAATTAAACTCATTAAGGCTAGTAGTTATAGGAGCGAATTTGGAGCAGAGTACCGTATTAGAAATAGGATTTGATTTAGGGACAATATAATGAAATATAACAGACATTTTAAATTGTTTTCATGTTTTGTGTCTTGTGGTGTCCCCTCTCTTCTCTTGCAGTCGGCACCAGCAGTATGAGTGTAAGTGGTACATCCCTCTAGCAGACCTGACCTTCCAGACCCTGGACGAGTGTGACTCCTGCCACAGTGTTCAGGTGCCCGAGCATGAGATCGAGGAGATGAAGATGAAGATCTCTGTCCTCAAGAGCGAGATCCAGAAAGAGAAGGTAAAACATACACACAAAAAATGAACTAAAGACACACTTTGAAACTTTTCTGGTGTGGGGTTTGCTCATCTCCATGATGCTATGTTTCTTCTAGAATGTTCGTCTGAATGGCATTAGTCTTGCACATTAATGGTGTTTTTATTGCTTGGAAAATGCATTGAGAAACATGCATTCTTACTGTGAGTAAGGTCGCCTCTACACAGAGCTGACCTAATTTGGCTTGTTATCACCCCCTTGTTTTCATAGAGAAAATCAAGTGCAATGCCACACTTTCTAGGCAAGCAAAACATAACATATCCATGGAGACAGCAAGTAGCCTACCCCCCAACTGAAAAGTGACATAGTGCACCTATGAAATAATAATAAGAATTTGTTTTGGAATAAGCAATATGCATAATATTTATACACAGACGTTGCAAATTACAGTGCTTCTATGTATCATATTTTGTTTTCCAGTCTTAAAGCTTGGAAGCTTAGTCTGGATTCCGAAATTATTAAATGCTAGAATAATCTAACTATTTTCAGTCTAATCTAGATTTTTTTATCAGTCTGAAATTTGTCCAGAAGGTAACTAGGGACATTTTTGCAAAAGTTTAGTTTTGCAACCTTTTTCTATACACATCAGCCTGCAGTCTTCTTATTGTTCATTATAACCTTTTACACACTAGCAGACTATTTGCATTGTAGCAAATAAAGTTTGATTTCACTTTCATCCTTCACATTCAATGCTTTATGTTACTAAAAAAGAACTCCGGTGTGAGGACAACTAATATGTGGTTTAGACACCATCCATTTGTGGTCACCCACTGCAGTTATAGAAATGACTTGCATGTTAAATGTGTTCCTTTTAAGCATATACTTGAAACAGGCCCACAGCTCTGTTTATCTTTGAGTTCAACTAAAAGTGCACTGTGCATTGCTGGCCTCATAAAAGCTCCTACCAAGATAACAGAGCTACACCTCCAACACAGCTTGTCCCTATCCATGAATTTGACCACTTACAGTAATAATGCATGTTCATGAACATATTTTGAGCAATAAAATCTGTTTAATGTCATTCTGTGAAATATTCCAGGCAAAGCAATAACATGTTCATGAGAGCGGACCCTCAACCAGAAAAGTTACATAGTGCACCTTTAAAACTAAATATTATATCTTTTGAATGGGCAAATGTCCTCAAAAAATCACTTCAGCTTCCTCTTATATGCAACATTTTGAAAAGTTTTTTTTGTTCAAAGTATAGAAGATTTCGTAGTTTAAAAATGTACTGTGATTGAGTAAAAAAGTAAAAAACAGACAAACGTGCAAAAAAAAAAAAAAAAAAAAACAGAAAAAAACTAATGCTGCTTTTACTCTATCACAAGTAAGTTAATTATACTACAAGCATAATTATCTTCACTGTTTTAATCTTTTGAGCCTTGTCCTTGAAGAGCACCTGAAAAACTTCCCTGGAGCTCTTTGTGTTTTTATATAATATTCTGTTTTAAATTGTTAATCGCTATGGCAACAGTTTTAATTTCTCATGATTCTGAAACCCATTAATAAACAGGAAGCTGAAACCCATGAATGATCAGTTATAATCTAACACAGTCAATGATGTACAGTAGTTTTCCACAGTAGTCTTCCCAGCAGCACGGCAGCATGCGGTATTCCAGAGAAGTGCCCGTAAGTTCCTGTTTTTTCCCTGGAGATCCGCTCTCACACAGGGCACCACAGTCCACAGGCTGGTGTTTGGAGCCCACGTCAGCGCAGCTTTGATCTGATACGAGTCTGACTCACTGCTTCCTGCCAACGACTTCAGGGATAAGGCCTCTGTTTGCTTTCACTTCTCACAAAAACACAGAGACTTCTATCCATGGCTTTCAGAATGATGAAGAATTAGGACTGTTGCCATAGCGATTAACAGTTTGAAACAAGATATTATATATGTTGAATGGAAAATTAGGGGCTCAAAGTTAAGATTAAGCCCATGAATATTCTGTGCTGCATTAAAAGTGCACTGAGCTTTTCTGGTGGAGAGTCTGTCATCTGCTTCTGTCCATCATATGAGATATAGAGCCTGGAATGTTCCACAGCATGGCATTACACTTATTTATCTCTATAGAGACAGTAGGTGACAAGTTACATGTTAGATCTGTGGATTGGCGAGCCTATTCATGGTAAGAATGCAAGTTTTTAGGTCAATAAAATCCCACATTATTGAGTAAATGTAAGATGGATACATTTAATGCCATACTGGAACATCCCAGACAAAACAGTACAAAACAATAACATCTCCTCTACCCAAAAAGTTACACAGTGCACCTTAATAGGCCTTCTGAATGTACTCACACAGATTTGTAAATTTTGGAGTTTTTTTTTTTTTTTTTTTTTTTTTGCAGTTTACGTATTTTGAGACTAATGACAGCTGTTTTGCTTGTGATTGTAGAAAGCCCCCAAAGGCCAAAGCCGCGTGGAAAGAATGAGGAAGAAGATGAATGAACAAGAATCCTGGCTGCTTATGCACTCCCCAACCATCCCCTTTCGCATCCACAACAAACATGGAAAAGTAAGTGGGCTTTCTTTTAATATTTTTATTCATTATTCACGTTTCACCACCAGAGGGAGACATCAGACCTGTGATGGTCAAAATGTTCACTACCACTTCACCGCCACTTCACAGAAGCAATTTCTTCTCGTCTTCCTATGATTCTATGCCTTAAATCCTCCTTAAATAACACATTCACAACACATTTGCTCTTAAAAAGTAATTAGTGAAACAACAGTAAAACTTTACAAAATTATGAAAATATTTAATGTTTTGAATCTATGATGTTTTCTATTATCTCTTAAATTCAAGTCAATAATTGAGCTTGATAATTAATGTAACTATATTCTGCTTATTGTTTATTTATGACAGATTTACTGTGATTATATTCTGACCAGTTCCTTTTGTATGTTTAGAGTTATCTATTCTTGCTGTCTTCGGACTATGAGAGATCAGAATGGAGGGAAAGCATACAAAAACTACAGAAGAAAGGTAACTACATTCTTTATAACAAATAACACATTTGGTTACATTTCTGGAAGGGGCCCTCACCTGCTTTTTTCTATGGACGTGTCATTGCTCTCCCAGGAATGTTCCACAGTATGACATTAAACGGCTTACCTTACATTTATTCAATTGCAGTTGGCTTTATATCTCAAAATTACCTAGAAAAACAGACATTCTGACTGTGAGTGAAGTTGCCTCTCCACAGATCTGACCTGTAACTAGTAATACAAAGTAATAATATCTCAACGGAGAAAAGCAAACCAAAAAAGTTACACAATGCACCTTTAATTTAGTCATTCAACCCTCTAGTGCTCAGAGCTTATCATGATACAGAAAAGTAACAAAAAGTAGCCTTGATACATCATTGACCTCCAAAAATAATTGTCCCAGCTTTCATTTATTGAAAAAGCTGTCCGTATAATAATTATCATGACAGGCCTATTGGTTTCCTCTAACCACATAGCAGTATTGCACAACTGTTCTTAAATAAATCTGTTACAAATAATTCACAATAGCCATTTGTTGTGTATATTTCCCAGACCTCCAGGCTTGCGTTTTGAGTTCTGTTGAGCTGCAAGTTCTCACCAGCTCTTGTTTCAAACTCCGCACCGTCCACAATATCCCGGTCACCACTAACAAAGACGGTAAGGACCACTGCACACTGTCTCTTTATTCTCCTCATATGCGTGGGAGCATGCATGTTTTTCTTGTGTTTTTTAGTTTTGGGTTCATACAAAAGTGCCTATTACACTGTGAGTGCAGGGAGCAGCCACATAATGACAGAGGGGGGTCCTAGCAGGAAAAAATGTAGGTTGCAATATGTTTCTGATCTGAATACCACGCACTGTTGCTGGCTTTTAGCTTTGTATGTGTTTGTTTTTGCTCCAAAGCTCCACATTGCATTGGACTGGGAGGCGAGTGGTGACATTAAAGCCATCTGGACAGACGTCTCTGATCTGGGGCTGTGGCACAAAGGTCTATGGTTTCAAATAGAGCAGAGGGACAATCAGGATAGGCCTGTAGTGGTTATAGATGGGGAGAATGGCTGTCATATTCGATACAAAAAGTTACCTCCATTTTGGTTTGTTTACAAAAAGTGCTCCATTATTTTGACATTTTGGACCTTTAAAGTGGTTGTGAATGACGTTCTAGGACTGTATCAAAATGCATGTCAAAGTTCCCCAAAGGCACTTGTCATCATTACTCTCACAGGCTGTTTTTCTTCGCTGACGCTTGTCACGTTTAACTATGTCTAGGAGTGCTTCATGGAATTTAGGGATTTATAAAAAAAACTTTTTACTGTTTTTGTAGTTTTCAACTAGTCCAAGACTCAAAAATTAGAAAGATATCTGTGTTCTAATTCAGTGGTCCAGGGAGGTTCCTTCGCAAAAGAAAATTCAACTCTGTCATCTGCACAAACGTTTCACCGCTTATCCATGTAGCTTCTTCAGTTCATTAAAAAACTTTTATCCACTTCACAGAATATAATTTTCTTTTGCGATGCAGACATTGCATCTGGAAACGTGTAGAGAATCAGGAATAATACAGGATGAAAGAAAGGTCTTAAATTTTATCTCTGAATATTCATGTCCCTCTAGGCCTTGCTCCATACGTTCAAGTCAAATAGAATATACTGATAATATATTGATAGTACCGTAATACTGGCCCAGAATGATTTGCTCTTGCTAAAAGTGCTTGAAACTGACATGGCAATAATGGAAGACATCACATATAGATGAGCATTAACATAGATAAACTTAAACATGTAAAACCCTAACCGCAGAACCAGGTCGTCCAAATTTCAAATGCAGCTGATACTTTGCAGTGACACTGGGGGTAATCTACAGGTAGCAAACACAGCCAAAAAAGTTTTAAGATTGCCTGAAAAGTCTAGGAAATGTATTTAAATATCACATTTTGAGGAGCCTGTGATCAAAACTGCGTTCTTAGTTTAGGGAGAGAGCTGTTATAGTTTATGATCCCACTACTGGTTCTAAGTGGCCTATATAAGCAAAATAAATACTTTTCATTATTATTCTTTTGACTTAGTTTTACATGAGTGAAGTACGTGCACTCCCTCACCTCTGTTTTCCAAGCTGCTGTCGGCAGTGAGGGGAATTAAATGAATAACAGCTGTTTTAGGAATGTTCTCATAAACCCAAAACTTCTCTACAGGACCCCCCACGGCACTCCAACTATTCACACTTTAATTTACCCCCCTGCTCACAATTAAAAATCAATTATCACATATTAGCACATGATTTCCTCCACTCTTTAGTTTATTATACCTGTATACAGTAGAGAAATTGGCTGACGGGAAGCTATCTCATAGCTGACCCTTTGAACTGTTGCCCCCCGCAGGTTGTGCTCTGTCATTAACGCACTGCTGTGCCCTCAGACGCCTACAGTGGAAGCCCAAACAGTCATGGCACAGTTTATTTACCAGGAAACAGCCAGCTAAAAGGGCCCCTAGGATAGCACCACTGAGCACCATGTTGTGACAGTCAGGGCCACCCAAAAGTCAACGCCCACAGACACAAAGATGATCAAAAAAATAATATTATAGCAATGTCAGTAGATAAGTACTATTCATTTATTTTTTTTACAATTAATTCTATTTGTTGGGTAGTATGTGTGTAATACATTAATGTATTAAAGTGTAGACAGAAAGAGAAAGGGAAAAAAAAAACTGCAGCCCATGCTGTGTCAGTCCAAAAATCTGATTTAAAGATTACTGATAAAATAATATTTGCAATGTCACTAGAAAAATTCTGTTTGATTTTTTAAAATGTTTTCATTTTTTTATTCTTTAGTGTGGGGATGTATTAAAAGGTAGACAGAAAGAAACAAATATATAACATAACTTATTTCACATTAAGAAACAAACATAGATGACCCTATGCATATTATTATTTAATAAAAATATATAATTCATAATTACTATGGGTTACTAAGCCAATTTTCTAGTTATTTTATTAGGAGAACTGAGAACCACAGGTAATGATTTGAGTATAAGAAGTGGAATGGGGAGTTGAAACATATTTGGCATGTTTTACATTTTTGCGTCTTTTATTTAGTCAGTGAGGCATGAAAAGTTACATCTTAAAGTCCTTTGGATTCTTACTGGTTCAGACAATCCACTTACCAGTCACTATATGTGAATGTCATTATAACTAAATATAACACAGTATCATGTGATAGAACTGGTCATCCAAATTCCTACTCATGAATAAGTAACATCCATGACTAATTATTGCTTCATTCTTCTATTTATTTGCTTCTGCTCAAAGAGCAATGGGAGAAATGTGCCATTAAACAGACTTGCCATCAGAGTGAACTGGGCTGGCTCATGTCCATACCAGAACAAACTGCTTTCTTTGATAAGAAGTTGGTGTGTGAATGCTAGTATACTGAATGATAACATTTGATTTTAGTCCATACTGTGTTGAACTATAATAACCAGCGTGAATGCTGAATTGCTGAGGTAACAACATTCTAACATGCCTTGAAGCTCACGAGTCTATTTGCATAATATATAGCAACTGTTAACCACTACTGAAATGTTCTCTTTGTGCTTGTAATGACGGTATTGTAATCCAACTATGTGCTTGTTTTGCAGATGAGGAGACTCCAGGCCTCTACGGCTTCCTCCATGTGATCGTTCACTCAGCCAAAGGATTTAAGGAGTCAGCCAGTGAGTTCACTCACACATCACACTTCACTTCTGCACACACACTATTTGGCACAGAATCAGTCACAGGGTTCAAACTGCCAATGAACACACAACAAAACCCATGACCCACTCAATCTGTAGGTACAAGTTTGTATGTGTCATAAAATAAAACGAAAAGGTAAGTAGCTACGAAAGTAGCTACTTTGGCTAAACTCATTTAATCAATGCGTCTTTTGCGTAAGTACATAACACATTGGTTAATTTTTATACGCACTCAAAACTTGGATGGAAGATTGTTGTTTTCTACTGTTGTACCAGATTTTTACATGAAAAACAGTAGTAGGTAATTTTTTTTAATGGTTTGCAGTGGTCTAAAGTTATTCCTCACTTACCTTATGTATTCCAAACTTCAGAGGTTAGAGCAGAATTTGCCAACAACAATCACAACAGCAACAACAAGGATGCTAACTGGGCACTCCTGATTATTGGACTATTACTAGATTATTGTACTTGCACAGTACAATTACATGCATACAAAAAACAAGCATGCAAAATTGAGTACAAGCCCTTTAAGAATTTTATGAATTATATAACATAACTCTCTTCAAATCAAGTTTACACATTTATAACAACTTCATCTGAACAATATAAAAGACAGTACAAGCTCAAAAATAGACAAAAGAGCATGTACAATGAAATACCCATTACTCAAGGCTTTGTTATATCAAATATCTGAAGAAGCAACAAAGGAATGCAGAGAAATATGATTTTTGTGGGTTACCATGACAGCCCTGTACTGTAGTATATGAGAGTAGGTGTACCAGTATTTCCTGGGCTGTGGATTTCAAATCTATCTCCACTGAAAGCCCTTTGATCCTCGATGGAGCAGAGAGAACTGAGGGGCTTAGAGAAGAGCGAGTGAGAGGGTATGAGGAGAGAGAAGAGGAGGGGGGGTTGAAAGGTGGGTCAATGTTTGGAGGTTTACTACAAGAGAGGGAGCTGTGTGTACTGTGTGCTGTGTAGTAGAATATAAATGATGTGAAGAAGAGGGAGACTATTGTTTTATTGTTTAATTGGAATTTATCAACTGCAGTAGAGGAATCGTTTGTTTGCAAATGTTATAATTAACACAAAGCTATAGGAAAATAAGTTTCATTATTTTGTTGTATCTTATCTCACACTAGGCTCTATTCATGCTTATGTCACAAACCAAGAAGAGTTTGGAAACATGCGATGAGCCTGACAAAATCTAGAAAAAATTAGAAAATGGCCAAGTTTTCTTCATCTAAATGTCATTGTAGCGTTCTCTTATGTTCAGCTAATCAACAATTACAACCATACCTCAGTTTTCATAATTTCCCCACTGACACACAACTCCGAGCGCTCTGTACATGCAATTAGAAGAGAGGATGGCGCCAAATTTAAGATTATTTACTGTATGTACGCAGTCATCATTTTACCGCTGATGACATTTACTTCAGTAGGTTTTATCACAGTCAGAAGGAGAGCTCCAGAAGTTGTCATCACATGTTTCCAAATGTCTTGGTTTGTGACGTAAGCGTGAATAGAGCCTACAGTAGAAATTTACCATTTATACATTATACTGAACCATTGTGGCTAGATTTGAGGGATTTGATCAAATTACTTCACTATTATTAATTATTATATTAACCGTGACATATTTATTGTTGCTACGTTAAAATTTAGTCCATGTTTTATTGAGTATAAGTATAGGTAAGATAATAATTATTACTTCATTCTGTTTATTGCTTCTTATGCCTTTTGGTACAGTATATTTTAAAAACAGGTTTACTGGGATTATTCTGCTTTGTGTCAGTAGCATAAAGTAGTTTCAATATTATTGTTTCTTGAAAAAAATTTCTTTCAAGATATATCGTGCTTCAGAATTTGTTATTGTGACAGGCCCATGTGGTACCGCAATTCTTCCATGCAGGTACAACCTCCCCTCACAAAGAAAACTAAAACCCCAGTCTCCTCCAGATGAAAACAGAGCACCCCATCTGTCTTGTTAGGTGGCGCTGACTCCATCATCACACATTATAGAGGACGTAAGTGCAAGTGCTGTGATGGATGAGGGTTTAGCATCACACAATGACTGTACTTCCATGTATTGATACTAGTGTGATGCTAACTGAAGGTACTACTCAGTCTGAAGCTCTGTGACTTAAATTAGACTTTAATCACACCTTTATTTTAGCACAATTTGACCATAAAGAATTGACTTAGTACAGTTTTTTAGTTTCACTTTTTTGTTGAAATTCAATCTCCTGAACAGGACCACAAACACTCATACTGATCACAGGCTCCATTGTCCTTTTTGTTTTTTGTTTTTTAGTTTTTGGCTATGTTTGCTCATGTGTGTTGTGATACCGTGGTAACTACACGTAGAACACCCCCAGTATCAATTGTGGACTGTTGTTCTGGACAATGGCATGTGAGGGTAGTCTACTATTTGATTCATGTGATGGCTATTATAATATCCAATTCCAATGATTGCAGAGTCATTTTTCAGTGGTTCACTCTGTACCCATTGCAATAATAGGCCTGCTTCAAATTCTTGACTTATTATTACACAGAAGGCCATTATATGTCTGAGGAAATAAACATAGAAATCCCCTCTAATCTGATTGAGGATTCTCATAAAAACAGTGGTGAATGATCTGATTGGAGCTGCGGTATTTCTGTCACATAGATCTGCCCCAGTGGGAGAGGGCTTCCATTCAGCCCAGGGCAAAGTACTGAAAACTGGGTCACAGAGGAAAGAGCAGGAGATGAGACGCTACAAAAACACTGTTTAGAAACAACAAACCGTAGCAAAACACAACCTTCTTATGCTACAGGGCTAGTCATTTTTGAATGTCGAAATGTCAACAACTGTGACATAGTTTTACAGTGTCGCCAACTTGTAGGTGATGAACAGCATTGGTCCAGGATATTCCACAGCATGGCGTTAAAGTTTTCATTTTTATTTTTGTACTGTAAGCAAGCATGCATCACCTGCTTGTCTCCATGGAGATATATGTATGCCGTACTGTGTGGACCATTACCTGCAAAGCAATAACATCGCCATGATACAAGAAAGTAAATTAGAAAAGTTACACAATGCATTACCCAACATTTGTTTTCATAAATAAAAAATAAAAAAACAGTTTTTCTCTGTCAAAAATCCAACTATTATACTTTGTCTTCATCTAATTACATTTACTTGATTGCAAACTTGTAAGTGTGTAACTTTAATCTCAGTTTGCGGTGTCTGTGTTGGCTGGTGCACACTTTCACACTCATGGCTATTAATAATAAGCTGCTAGTCATTATCATCTGCCTGTCTGGTCTGATGAAGTCCTCAAATATCAAGTTCCCATAGTTCCAGTAAAATAAATAGAAGGCTGAGTGCTGCTGCAAAGCTCAATAATCTTGTGAATCTAGCGTGTAATTGTATTCAGACCTCTGCACTGTGTTTGACATACTTTTATTTGCCTCATCCCTCTGGTTTCTATCAGAACAACACAGTTATACCGCACTCTCTTTTCTCACTTGGGCCTATTTGTAGAGCTGAAATGATGATTATTTTATTTGTTGACTAGTAATCAAATAATTATTTATATTATACATTTAGATTTATTTAAAAAATGTATTAAAATGCATTTTAACAATATAAAGGTAAAAATGTACTAACTGAAAGCTTTGAGACTGGTAACTACAAATGAATATATAAAGTATATATATTTCTGAGCAACATTTTTGTTAGAAAGCATCTTTATGAAACAGAAAATGCAGAGTTGTAATGTGTAAGGTGTAATGTAGAGGTGCAAATGCAAGGAACAGCAATTTAAAAGTGAAAGGTTCAATCCAGATAACGATTAATAATTATTAATTTAGTCACAATTATTCAGATCAATTTCTGCAACCCAAGTTGTATGCTAGACCATGATAAGTTAGCCATTATCACCTCTTATCGTGAGACCCCCGACTGACCCTGTGCTGCACACCACCCCAGGCCAGGATTAGACCCTTATATTGGGACACACACATGCCCCAGTCACAACAGCCTTTTAATTAAGATGGAAGAGGACATTATACTTTAACCTCTGATTTTATGGAGCACAGACCCCAGACTGACCAGTGAGAGGACACAGAGGTGAACAATATGGACTCACATATAAAGGCCTGGTCCCAGTTTGACCCACTTTTTATCATATACATATGCATACGATATATGCATTGACAATAGATTATCATAAATTCAGAAGTTGAAAGTAATTTCAAAAGCAATTATCAGGACAACTTCTGTAGTTCTGCTGGTCCTACAGTGAGAACACTAGAGGCCAAACTAAATATAATACCTCAGATTAAGAGGAGAGGTACAGCGCTTCACTGGGTCATAAAAAATATCTTTAAAATTGCAATCCAGCTGCTCTTTGAGGGTTGAGTTCAAATCACAGCACAGTCTAGCTTTTACTTAATAATGTAAAAATGGGCAAGGTACAAACCCGAGGCACACTGACTGATTATATTAAAAGTCCTTTATTACACGAGGACACCAAAGCCTTTTGGCCAGCTGACTAGTCTTCATCAAGGCATGAGACAGGCTTGTTTCAGCTGCGCCTAGAATATTGTCTCATAGTGATTGATAATAATTCTTTATTCAATTTTAATTTGCCTTGTTAAAAATAAACACATGGCTCTCAATATTCATGTCAGACTTTCAGACTGATTGCTATTAATACAAAACACCATGCAGAAATAGTTTTGATAATACTTTGTCATCACTTGCCATCACGATTGACAATTTTTATGTTTACCAGAGAAGATGTGAACTTCTTGCCATATGTCCTTCAATATTTAGTTGTTTAATTTTAGTTATTCGGTCACTTTCGGCACAACAAGGATATAGACTACAACCCCATTTGGATTAGGATTTAGGCTGAAGTAAAAGTATTAATAATATCTAGCCATGTCAAACAATGACAGAATTCCAAGAAAGAAAAGCAGCGTATGAACAGCAAGTTTGCATTTACAGTTTCACAACAGAGGACTTACTATAATATGTGTGGTTGTCAATAGATAATATACGTTATTTACTTCATCTGTCAATGTTTTCGCTTGTTGGATCCGTGTATGCAGGAAACTTGGCAGCGTCAATTAAATATTCGATTTTGAGATGATTACTTTGAGATAAGCATTTCCGTAAATAGCGGAAGTGTACAATAACCGCTTGGCTTTAGCGTCTTAGAGACTTTGCTGCACAAACATCCCCCAGATGGACCCTCCTCTGAACTTCCCCTTCACCACTGCACTAATCTCCTCCTCACTGGGAGTAATTATGACCCAGCTTTTCAGGATATAGCCAAAACAAACAGCTCCTGTCCAGATGTGGGACACGTGTGGTACTAAATCGGGAGAGAACAGCTGTATTACTTGAAGGTGCACTGTTAAGAGTTTTGTCAGATTGTCCTCCACATAGGTGCAGGTTCCTGATGTGAATGATGTGGCATGGCAATTGTCCTCTGTTACTATGACTTACTATGAATGGAGAGAGGTCCTCACAAAGTAATTCATGGTTTCAGGCACGTTGCCTGAAATGTTCCACAGTATGGTAAATGGCAAAGGGTCACATTTGTATAGCACATTTCCACCTTCAATTCACTGGAAGTACTTTATGTCAAAGAACCACTCACCCCTACACATACACACACATTACTGAGGTACTGTCAGCTCACTTTTCTGTATCATTGGACATATATCTCTATGGAAACAAGCCACAAGTCTAGGTTACACATCTAAAATGTAATTCCTTACTGTTTAACATTCCAGACATAGCAAGAGCTTCTCCTTTGAGACAAGCAGGTGGTGGCCTCTCAGCTAGAAATGTTCCGTAGTAGACTTTTTAAAACCTGTTCTTTTCAGTGATGCCACAGCTTTTGTCTTATGAACAGATTCCTTTGTTTATATGAGAGAAACCTTGTGCCTCTGTGATCCAATCTTGTGACTTGTGAGTTTGGCAGTGAGAGGTCGAGACGTACACACATCCATCATGGTGTCAAATATAACCCCAGGGAGCAGAGCCAGGCTTCAGGACGTCCTATTAGACACTTCACAGATAGCTCCTGCACCACCTCTGCAGCCATTTGACAAACACATTACCTGAGTTTAATTGGCCATGTATGAGTGGGGTGTGCGGAGGTCCCATGGGTGCTACAGACTAGGTGTGGGGATGTAAATAGTGCTTGGAGAGTGTCTACATGTCTATCAGGTGGCACGACTGTGAAGCGTTGACATCCTAAATAATTCATTCTGTGTGATTTGACAGAAGTGTACATTCTCATATATTTCAAGATGGTGTGTTTTTGTGCACACTTGCTTTGTGTTTGTGAGCAAAGACGTGGTGATGGTACATGTATAGTATTGAGTTAATTATATTGATTTGATGTGCGTAAAGTATTTGTAGAGTAGAGAGCTTTACACACATCTACTTTCAAATTAGACATTTTGAGTATTTGAGTGCATATTTTCATAAAAAGAATTCAAACCCATGTTATTTTATGTATAATTTTTAAACTATATAATCAGAACATAAAACAAATAATAAATACATACTGTATAGTAACAATACAACTGTAACAATGACTCCCAGACACCTCGAGACGTCATGGTCATATTGGGATTTCTCTCTGAGCCAGGATTTAAACTGAGGTGGGAGTCAGATTTCCACTATTTCAAAATACATCTTTAAACCATAAAAACAACATTCTTGGCAATGTATATAAAGACTGCAAAAGTCAAACTGCATCTAATCAAAGAAAACACAGACGCAGCATTTTACTATATTCCAGCTGTCACTTAGAACAAACACTATTGGCTCGCAATCAATGCAAAATATGTCGAGTGTAATAACATTATTACCCATGAGGCTGTGCAGCTGAGTACTAAAGTGCTGTTTTAACGATGGTGATAACTTACACAGCTCTCTTTTAAACTACATTTGACAGGTTTTCATGTTTTTCTAATTATTCATTTTGTTGGATTGTACCATTGAATATTTTCTGTAGTTTTACATCAGTTAAATGTTTGTGGGAAAAATGTCGAGAAGGAAACTAGAAAAAAATCTGTAATGTAATGATGTTAACTGTGTTTTAGTGAAATTAGTAGCCTGCCATATGCACTTTGGGTTAATTTATTTGCCATTTGTACTCAAAAACACGTTAGAAAAAACATGTGCATAAAGCTCAAAGTGCACCATGAGACATTAAAAACAACCACAAAAACAAACAGACAATCATTACAGACCACACATGACACTGTGAAATAAACAAGATACAAAGACGAAGGAGCTAAAATATTATGGTGCTACATCAAAGTCCAAAGTAAATTGTTCAAGCTCATTACAGCCAGTGGGATGAAGCGTGTACCATGGGGAGAAGTCTTCATTTAATATAGTGATACTTTCTTTCTTTAAGCATGTGGTGATAACCTGATTTACTGAGGCTTTTTGTTAATGTATTCATCATAACCTAATACACAATGTTAATGTTCCTTTCAGATTTATACTGCACCCTGGAAGTGGACTCCTTTGGATACTTTGTCAGCAAAGCCAAGACCAGAGTGTTCAGAGACACCTCAGAGCCACAGTGGAATGAAGTCCGTTAACTACATTATGCATAATTCATCACCAGTCAGGCCTAATGTCATTATTGAGTTGTCTGATGTTTTCTCTGTTATTTGTAGGAGTTTGAGATTGAGTTGGAGGGCTCCCAGTACCTGCGGATCCTTTGTTATGAGAAGTGCTATGACAAAAGCATGCTCAATAAAGATGATAACGAGATCGTGGACAAGATCATGGGCAAAGGACAAGTCCAGGTAAGAATGAATATAACGCTATGATTATGTGATAAATCTGTAATACACACCAGGCAACACTATATGACCACTGAGATAACACATAAAATATTTTCATTGTGCTTCGTTTTGATGGTTGGGCATTTATGGTTACAGGTAAACAATGTCCCCAATAAATTGTGATTTAGAAGCAGAGCATACAGTTACTGTGAGACACAAAAATAGGCATGTCAAAATGTTATGTCTGACTAGTGTTAGTGATATGACCAAAATAATTGTGATTAACAGTATCACAATAATTATAAAAATAGCTCACACTTTAAAAATGCTATAGATATGAATAATATAATAATAACACTACACAAAATACTACAAATTAGTATCGCTTTGCAATTTTTTAAAATCACTATTAGAGATATTACTCTTTATTGCCCCATCCCTAACTGGTGTACAGAGGTGTTAACACAGTGAGTATACTCTTGTTATTTTGGGGAGAACATTTGTCTCGACTTACTTCGTCTTTACACAGAGCTGTGGCTTTGTTCTGGTGGCCTCTAATGACCACGGTGGCATTAACTGTCTAAAACAGTTTCGTGTTGTGGAGGGTTTTCCCCATTCGTGTTGTGAGAACCAGTCCAATAAAATTTCCTCTCATTCTCATGTTCACACACTGCTGCTGCCGCTGCTGGTGCCTACAGAGAGGAATCTGAGGTTACTGTTGTTTGGGTTTGGGGAGTTCATGGCCAAATCACTTTTTCCATAACTCTTTAGTCAAGAGAAGCTTTTTCTGATAATGTTCTGCTGCACTGTAATTAACATCATTTAGAGTTTTTTGGGTGCATGGGTCAACAATACTTAGTACTCAGTATCCCGATGTCATAGATACTTTTACAAACAAGTCAGTGTAATCCCTCATATGTCCAGGGCTGGCTCAAGGTTTCAACAAATTTGTTATAGACCAATGCAGATACTGAATCCAGAGAAACTGTTGGCTAATTAACTCTGCTGATATGTCAGGCCAATTTTGATTATTTTCCTCAAATTATGTCATTTTAATTCACTACAAACTCTCCCCACGCACTATTTTACTACAAACCTATAAGAGAGCAGTCTAGTCATGTTTATATCTTTGCTCTTAAATCAAATAAAGCTTTATGTATCTTCTATTCTGCAGATCAGCCAAAATAATATATCGACCTGTTCTGGAGATTTAAGGCTAATAGCATTTCCTATAAATTGTACATATCTGTTTTTGTACTTTCAAGCACAAAAAATGTTTACGACCAGGTTAGAGGACTCACATTTCCATAATAAACTTCCAATAACAATGTAGGTACAAGATAAATATCTTAAATTTAAAATCATATGTGATCAAGTCTGATTTTGGTACCTACATATTTTCTTATGATTTACCAAAGTGAAACTAACTCAAAAGTTAGAACTCCTTTAGGAAGAGAGGAAATCAAATAGTATTTGAAAAATGATTGTTCCGTCATGTATTGAACGATATATCAGTATAGTAATTATTGTAGCAAGCCTATCAAATAGATTAAATTAATTGACTTAATCTAAATCACTAACCCACTTCCCTTTCACACTAATACCAAATCCTTACAGCAGGTTGCTTTGGGAAATGGGAACACCCATCCACCGTCAAATATAGAAATTGGGGCAGACGTGAATCACTCAGAGGAGCTTATTTCAAAGCCAAACCTCAAAATAACTTTCAAAATCCTTGGCCTCATGTTTTAGTTGTTGAATAAAAGTGTTGACTGATTAAACCACTCTGCAGTCTTTTGTTCTCAGACATGTGCTGTCCTCGAATGCTTCCTTTGATTTTTCTTAGGAGTGAGGAGACACTCCTCTCTGCATCTTAATGTGGTGCAGCCTTGGCAGTTTGTGCATAGATAGTCACAAACAGATGCTTTTTAAGAGATGAGAAGAATTCACCTGAGAGAGGAGTGAGTCATAGTTTTTGAACTCAAAGATGACGTTAATTAAGAGCTTCATGGTGCACGTTGGTCTGATGTTACTTTGCTTTGCTGTTGGGTTAATTAAGTTGGCACCTCGCTGCAGTTTTAAGTGGAAATATGATGAAAGATTTACAGCCAGAAAATGTGGGGGTTGTAATCTTAGCATAAAAGCTTTTTCAACAAAAAAGTTTAGAAACATTTTTGTGTGGCTAGCCCTCTTCTCCATCTCATGTGGCATTCAATGAGAAAAGTTTGGACTGCTGAGTTAAAGCTACAGTTTATAAGTTTTAAGGTAAAAATAGATTAAACTTTAAACTGTATCTCCATGGAGAGTGTTTCAAAGTATTGTTTTAACTTTCTGTTTACCTTGAATCATGCAGGTGATGTGTCACCTTCAGAAAGTTACAGATACATTTTTAAATAACTGAAATGTATTAAAATGTAATTAAAAAAAATAAAATACAGAACATGATATACATCAAAATAGCCAAAAATATATAACATATTTAGACAACCACTTTACAACATCTACAAAATTTAGACAGTTGTAAACATCAGTGCCTCGCCCATTTAGCTGTGTGAGACTAAATCCAAACTCCTCATACAACCACATTTCATGGCTAATTTGGGTAGTACCTGGAGGACTAAAGAAAAGATATTTAAAAATATTTTATATTCAAAACCTCAAAGTAGCCACCCTTTCCTTTGTTGAAAAATATTTTGTTGTTATTTAACTTTTTTCTACAGAACAACATACATACATAACTACTACATACGTCCTTATAACTTACTTCATATGCTTGATGCCTTCTGTAAGTAAATGTACAAAGTAGTAAAAAAAATAAAAAACTTTTGACTGATATCTATATTTCCAGTTACAATAAAATTCATAGTTATCCAAATAGTTCTGGCAAATAGATAAGGAAAAGCTCTATGTCTATGATGTTTCTTCAGTGTTTCTTCATTTTAACAAAACAACTGTAAAATGTTTTGCGACCTTTATAAATTTTTAAACACATAATAAAGAATGGTAGAGCTTTACATGTGCATATATTTACTCTGCATTTTATTGAGACAAGTGTGCAGTGATTACACATGAGCAGTTTGAACATTTAATTTTACAATGACAATAAAGACCACCCTTTTTGCTGCAGCTGCCTGCCACCAAGACATCTCCGCTCCACTTCTCCATCTGGGAACATCCACTTCAAGCCAAAAAGACACAAAACAAAAACAAATAAGTAAGCCACATGTTGTTGGCTGGCTCTGAGACAAAAAGAGGGAAACTCAGAAGGGAATGGCATGTTCTGTTCCAGACTTTACCGGCTGGGAATATTTTGAGAATCCATAAAGTTCATTTTGACAGATTAGACATGTTTTAGTTTAAAGTTACATTGTCATTAGTGTCACCCAGTTTAGACTTACTGAAGGTTGATGAAGCTTTCTATGATGAATAACCCAGTACAGATATTCTATACGAGATGATGAAGTGTGTAGTGTAGTAGTCCTGCTGGGACCTGTTGTCAATAACTTAGAGAACAGTTAAAGGAAATCCATTTGACTGATTTAGTTGTTGTCGTTGTATGTAATATATGTATCTATGTAATATAACATGTGCAAAATATTTACATCTAAAGAAGAGCATATTATTAGTTTGTACCTTATGTATACAGGCACAACTACTACTACTACTACTACTACTACTACTATTACTACAATACAAGTGTGAATCTCCGCTCTATTCACTCTTAAGTTTAGTTTAATTTAGATTTATTTTGATGCTGTTTTAGTCCTGGGCTAGTCCTGGTCTAGTTCCAGATTTAGTCCTAGTTTAGTCCCAGTTTTGATGTGGTAATTTGTGTTAACTAGGGATGCAACAATAACCAAAATATTGTGATATTGTATCGTGAAAAATCTCACAATAATATCGTGGACTGTCACAGTATATTGAATTACAAGTTTCTTTGCTTAAATGCATTGTTTTATAGTAGCAACAGCTTATAAACATTGGAAACTACATATCCCATGATTAATTTCAGCACAGACAACATCTAGATATATGTTTTTTACTTGAATTCTTGGGATTATGACGGAAAAAATTCACATCAAAATCTTGTCAAGGTATTTTTAAAACAAAAAATTTATTATCAATTTATCTTCAGAATATCACAATAAATATCGTACCATGAGATTTGGATATCGTTACATCCCTAGTGTTAACGCACCCTAAAACTTTGCAGTTCTTAATGGATGATTCAAGACATTGAACCTAAAGGATTCCAAGCATCCTATTCACCACAATGAGTTTTACACATTTTACACAATTTACAGTGTCTAGACCAAAGTCTTGCCCTCACAACAACTAGGATGCTAGCAGCACTTCCTGGTTCACAGGTGACACTTGAAGCAGTCTCAATGCAGTAGTCTCATTTTGACCTTAAGAGCTCCTTTTACAATATAGCTGAACTGAGGCAAAACAAACTTTACTATTCCATGAAAAAAATAGTACAGCCACTTTAAAACTCATAATTTATTGTCTCTTTACTCAGAAAACATGCCATCCAAGTGCACAGTGGAAGTGGGCCTTCTTCACCTCACAGATACACTGTCACATTCTATGAGCGCTGACACATCAATCTCCTAAAGTCAACATCTGTACCTAAGCAAGATCCCCACTCAGAGCAGGGTTGTTTGCTTTGGTCAGGCACAGTTTGGAAGGAGCCCCTGCTGTTTGGCTTTGCTCTCCAGAGACCCCTCGGATTTATTTTACAAGATGGAGGGATTCTGACTGACCTTAAATGGGCATTTTGAGCTGGAACTTTTGTGTCCTGTGTGTGTTTTGTGTGTGTTGTTCAGGCTTTACGTTGATGAGAAAGTTCACCGGCTTTGTCATCAAGCGCTGTTTAGATTGTGAGTAAGGAACAGGTCTTGGTATGAGTCACGGAGTTACCAGAATCAATGTAATGGCTACTGACTTATGTTGATGCATTGGGCAGGAATTGCAGTAGGTTGTAAACAGTATTTGAATGAGGTAGAGCTGCACAGATT